TATTACATTTCATTGACACTAGTTATTTAAAGTCTCTCAACCTCAACGTCTTCATTTATCAAATGGGGAAATGATTTTAGCAATGATATATATGTATAAAATTATGTGTATGACTTTGTGTGGGACATTATACACGAACTCAGTCCAATACGTTCTTTTTCGTAGTTCTTTGGGAATCTAGAAGAAGAGTTTGTTGTCTTTTTGTAATCACCTAAAATCACAGCTGCCATCCAAATGGTGATGCATTAGTTTCCTAGACTGAAATGGCCACAAAGTACATGACTTAATGTATCAGAAATTCTTCTCATAGTTCTGGAGACCGGAAGTCCAGCCAAGATATCCGCAGGGCCACGCACCCTCCCCAGACTCTCGAAGAGCGTCGTTTCTTAATTCTTCCAGTTTCCGATGGTTTTCGGTGTCCTTGGTTTCTGGCCATGTGACTCCAATCTCTCCTTCCATCTTCTCACAGCAATCTTCCCTTTGTCTTCTGTCTTCACTTTCTATTTTCCCTAACAGATATCAGTCATTGGCTTTAGGGTAAAACCTACATCCAGGATTATTTCACCTCAAAATCCTCAACTAATTACATCTATAAAGACCCTATTTTCAAATAAGTCACCTTCTGAGATTCTGGGCAAACATGAATGATGGTGGGGGGGGCACTACTGAACTAAAGTAGTAATACCTCCAAATGCTTCCAACTCCTTCTTATCATTTTTCTTATTTTGACTACAACCCATACCTTCACCTCACATTTTAGGAGTAACTACTTTGTGCCAGACATAGGGCCAGGTCCCAGGACACATAGATGGTTTCTTAAGGAGTTTGTAATATTTTGAGAATGATGCCCATTAAATAGGTTCTCCAGAGCTAAAGTGAAAAAGGAAAAAACCAGACAGTGCAGCATCCCGAGGTTGACCAGAGGGCTTTCTACAGTAGGTGAAAAAACTGCAGTTGGGGGGGGGGAATCTAGAAACTGTGTTCTTTATTATACAGATTCTTTACTCACAGGTTCTTTATTCATCTACTCAGAGGTGCAGGACTGAAATGAAAGCACAAGGGGAAAAGAAGGAAAGGGGATTTGGATGGTCTCGCCCTCTAGGTGAAATAGGACTTGGATGGTCTCTTGGTTGTCCGGTCTCTTACTTCAAATAATATTGGACACAGCATTTCAGACAAATAGATATCAATGTACAACAGATAAGAACCCTGCATTATAGCATTAAACTTAAAAGAGAGGATCTATATTATGCTTTATGTTTATGGAAAAATACTTTTTTTAATTTTTACTTTTATTTTGGTACCAGGGTTTGAACGCAGGGGTGCTTAACCACTGAGCCACATCCACAGCCCTTTTTTATTTTTTATTTTGAGATAGGGTCTCTCACTAAGTTTCTGGGATTCTCGCTAAGTTGCTGAGGCTGGCCTCAAACTTATGATCTTCCTGCCTCAGCGTCCCAAGGCACTGGGATTTCAGGCATATGCTACCACATCTGACTGATTTTAATTTTTGGATTGACATATGATAATTGTATGAATCTGTGGAAAACAGTGTGATTTAAACTCACGTGTACGTTGTACAGTGATCAAATCAGGGTAATTAACATACCTATCCCCTTAAAAAAGCTTTTGAGTTCTTTATATCCTGTTTTCTCCATTTACTAGTTATCTGACCTCAGTAAATTACATTACCTCCTCTGCCTCTTCTTGCTCATTTGTAAAATTTTGTTAACAGTAACTTACTTCATAGGGTCATTGAAGGATGACGAGCTAGTCCATGTTAAACACTTAGAGCAAGGATTATCAGATGTTTTTGTTAAAGGCTAAATAGTTTAGGCTTTGTTGGATAAAGACTATATATATATATATATATAGTCTTTATATATACATATACACACACACACACACATATATATATATATATATATGATTATTTAACAACATGAAAACCCATTATTAGCCCATGTTCCATATAAAAACAGAATTTAGCCAATGGTCTATAATTTGCCAACCTTTAGCTTAGAGCAGCACACAGTAAGTGCTCAATAAATACTAATTTCTGTTATGCAAACTAAGGCTCTTTTGACTGCTATGAAATGCTTATGATCCCTGAAGTATAAATAACAACAGGAAACAAGGTGTATGTCAAACAACTTAGCCAACCTGTTTGTTAAATAATAAGCAAGGATTACCGAGGTATACAGTACCTCCCTGCCTCGCCCTGTTCAAGGCCTTCCCATCCATGTCCAGCTTGAGGAGGTAAAGCAGGCTAAGCTCTAATTATTTTCAGAGAAGCCTCAAGCAGGTGGCAAGTCAAGATGGGGGAAGAGTTGGAAGGGGATCACAGGCCTTAGTTCTGGGCAGAAGAGAGAGATGGGAGGAGAAAGGGACCCATCCCATACAACCAGTGTTGCAGGCTCTGGAGCACCCTGCTATCTTTCATCTGTGGGGTGCTGAGAATGTCCTGCCTCTTGCACCTGGAGGAGGCCAGGTCAGCTTCCTCCTGCCCACACCTACCCACTTCAGACACAGACTCTGTCGGGCAGCCCCAAACACAAACTCAACCATCATTGATCCAATTGCCTCATATTATAAATGGGAAAACTAAGACCCAGGTTGGAGAAGTGATTTGCCCAAGGTCCTATAGCAATCATAGCCACACTGGGACTAGAAACCCAAGCTTCTGCCTTCCAGGCCAGTGCCTATTCCCTGCCTGCAGTTATTCAGGTTTCTGTCTCTGCCACATATTGGAAATACCCCAGGAGTTGCCAGTCCAGGGTTTATTGTCATCAGATGCAGCTGGATCACCTCGGATACAGCCCTTGCTGAGTATATTTGCTTGTTTATCAACATTACCAGTTCTGTGCTGGATGTGAAAGATGAAGAAGGAACCAAAGTCTGCCTTCAAGGAGCTCAATTTACAATCCAGTTACAATCATTGTTACTCACTTGTTGGTTTGTGCATTTGTTCATTAATTCAAGGAAATGACCTCAGTAAATCACATAACTTCCCCTGCCTCTTCTTGCTCATTGAGCATATACCATTGAGCATATACTTGGTGTGAAGTACCGCACTAGATGCCCAGAAATAAAGCATCAATAAAGTCTGTGCCTTTATGGAAATTATAAGCTGGGGAGGAGATAAGTAGTTAAAAAAAAAAACCATAGACACAGTCATATTCAGGCAGTTGTTTGTATATGAGAAAGAGAGAGAGAGAGAGAACCTTAATTGGTATCCTTTGGTGACTTTGTATAAGTATTCTCCATGTGGCCAGTTTCAAGGTAACAACATGGCATCGATTTGGAAAACCTGTTTTTCTATTTGGGAGGGGTTCACACATTTGGCTCTTGCAGCACAGCACTGTGTAGGCACTGTGACAGATGGTAAGCTTTGAGGGGAAATGAGTGGATTAAGAGAAGAGAATAAGGGAGGATGTGCTGCTATAGATTGACAGTCAAATGGCCTTTCTAAGGAGGTGAGGTCTGAACAGAGACCTGAAGTGAGGAAGCCAACTATTTCATGAATATTCATTAGATGAGCCTCACAGGCAGCAGGAACCACGTGGGCAGGGGCCCCGAGTCAGGACTGTGTCTGGCCTGTTTGAGGAATGGCAAGAAGGCCAGTAAGTATAGGATTTCTGGGAGCCCATAGGAGAGGAACTTGAATCCAACAGATGTGTGTGGGGTGGTGATAGTGGAGCACAAGAATTGAGACAGGCTACCCGAAGAAGACGTGTTTGCAGGGAATCTTAAAATAGGAAGTCAAGTTAACCAGAGGTGAAGAGAGAGAGCAGCTCTGGGCAAAAAGAACAGTGTGGACAAAGGCCTTGAGGGTGGAATGGGATCCCGTGCCTGGGGTCAGGAGTATGCAGGCAGTCCATCCTGCACAGATCAGTGAGAGTCGAGTCATGAAGGGCCTTGGGAGCTACAGAAGTTTTCCACTAGGGAACAGACACAGAGTGTCAATCCTGAAGGACATAGCTGATGGGGAGATACAGGAGGCAGAGAGACTGCTCTGTGCAAGAAAGAAAGGACCTGTGTCTAATTTAGGGCAGAGAGGAGGGGATGGACTTGGAAAGATAACCTTATGTCCCTTTAGTGACTTACACTAAGGGCCTTCACCCCGGCCAGCTTTCCTCATCTTTACAATGACCCACATGGGATATGTGGTGTGGCGGATTAGACCTGGTGGCAAATATTTGTCATTCTCCCATTTCTTTCACTTGAAACCACCCGGCCCCATGTCCCACCCATAATCAATAGGATGCAGCAGAAGTGACACAGAGGGACTGCTGAGGCTTGGTCTTGTTTCTGCCTTGATCTCCTGGCATTCTTGCTCTACGGGAAGCCAGCTGTCACATGAGAAGTCTCACTACCCCAAGACCACTGTGCTCTGAAGAAATCTCAGCTTGCTAAGTGGAGAGAGCCATGGCCAGGAGGTGCTCAGCCAGCCTCTGGCTGTTTCATTCCACTCAGCCCAAGTGCCAGGCATGTGAGCTGAAAATGTCACTTGGATATCTAGTCCCATCACACCTTCAGATGACTTTAGTCCTAGCCACCATCTGACTGCAATTGCATGAGACCCCAAGCAAGAGCCACCCAGCTGAACCCCATTTGTGTTTTGAACACAAAACACCAGGAGGTCATAATTGTTGCTGTAAGCCATTAAGATCTGGTGTGGTTGATTATGCAAGAGCAGACAACCAGAGACACATGGCATTATCACCATTTTCGATGGGGAAATGAGGCTTATGAAGATCAGGAGAACTTGTCTAAAGTCACATGAATGGTAAATGGTAGGTCCAGAACTAAAACCCAGGTGTGCTGACCTTTAGAACTGCTGTCTGGACTCTTTCCTGCTCTATCATGACCATCCCCTCCCATACCCTGGGCCCAGAAAGGTCAGAGAGGGAGGCAGTTAGTCACCTGAGTCTTTCTGCCAGCCCAAAGGGGAGGTCCTTGGTGGCAAGTGTAAAAAAAAAAAAAAAATGTCCCTTCTAGCATCCTGGTGCTCAGGAATACTTCTCCTGCATACCCCCATATTCTCCCCCTCTCCATTCAGTTCCTGCTTTCAACCAGCTGTCCACTTGGGAGTGAACAAATTCACATTTTCTGTGCATTACCTGACGAAGCCCTTTTACATGGTGTTAGGTCATGCAGTCCACAGTGTTGTCAGTAGGTGCTGCCTCACCTAATGGAAACAGGCTTAGGCAGGGAAAGGCCTACCCCAGAGTCGGACAGCAAGAGTTTCAGAGCTTAGATTCCAATTCAGGTTTGTCTGTCCTACCATCTGCATTTCTTCCACTGAAAACGGGGCTAATGTTATGCACAACCGCTGAGGTGTGTTGCAGAGGTTAGGGGACATGACTCTTGTGGACATGCCAGAAAGTGTCTGATCCACACATATATCCAGTCCATGCTAGAGTCCTCTCACTTTCTCTCCCTCCATCCCTGCTCCATCACAAGGAAATCCATAACCTGTCAAGGGCAAGAAAAGTCCTCGAATAGAAAAATAACACTCAATATTTATTGAACTCTGTGGAGTAGGCTACAGATTATCTAATGTAATCCTCACAAATACACTATGAATTAGGTGCTATTATTGTTTCCACTTTACAGATGATGAAGTCAAGTCTCAGACAGGTAAGTAACTAACAGCATAAGTAACAGGTAAGTATAACTGAGATTATATTTCTGGTAAGAGACGAATTTAGGGTCCAAATCTTGGTGTGTTCATCTCCAAGTCTGTGCATTTAACCAGCAAACACTGCCTCAGCCCCTGGACTGGGAGTCCCCACGGCAGGTACACACCTGGCAGGCTGCCTGATGGAGCAGGACTGGGCAGGCTGATTAATGAGGGGACCAACGTGGGGAAGGAATGAGGTCACATTCCAGGAGGCTGAGGCAACACAACCGCTTCAGAGAATTTGCTCTCTTGGAAAAATACTAGCATGGTTGGTACTTGTGCCGAATAAGAGAACTAGACACATAAAAGGGATATGAGGACTGAGCAAGGCATTTCGCCCTTGGATTCAGAGAAGCTAAGAGCCATCATCCTCCAAGGACTTGCTCATGTCCTGCCCACTTCCCATTTCTAACCCCTGTCTCCAGAGGGCCAGCTGGCATTCCCTTCAAGCTTTTATCCCTCTTAGTTTGTGGCTTAAGCACATATCATGTTGTTATTAATGAACTCATTTGTTTTACTGATCTATTTCCAGCACTGACTTTATGTCAAGCACTGTGCTAGGAGAAGTGGACATGGTATGTTTGTTAACCCTTTAGGTCTGAGACATTAAACTGGAAATGAACACTGTTGATGAGTGAAACATAAAAGCAAATTTCCTAGCCTAGCAGGGTGGTGCATACCTGTAATCTCAGCTACTCAGGAGGCTGAGGTAGGAGAATTGCAAGTTTGAGGCCAGCCTTAACAATTTAGCATTCCCTGTTTCAAAAAATAATAAAAAGGACCCAGGGTGTAGCTCTCTGGAGAAAGCTTGCCTAGTATGTATAAGGCCCTAGGTTCGATCCTTAGTACCAAAAGGAAAAAAAAAAAAAAAAAACTATCTTCTTTCCTTCTTTGTGACCCACACTTCCTCCTTTCTTCCTTTCCTTCCACAGATACCTGTATCTATGCTGAGGGCCATTGCCAAGTAGGAATGACACATCGAAATCCTTGCCAGCGTACCCCATGTTAAATGGACTTGCCTTGGAAATCCGCTGTGACCTTGCATGTGTGTTTGAGAAAGGCAACCCTGCTCAAGGACGAGGGTGGATCTAGGTTTAAGGTATATCCTGCAGGTTTGAGGAAGTATCCCGCTCCTTGGGTTTAGGACGTTCCCGGTTTAAGACAATAGGGGTTTTAGGGAAGTTGGAGGTTGAAGATTATTGCTGCTGGGATTAGGGTGTTCCTGCTGCTTGTTCCCATTGAGTTCCCCTGAGATTAAAATGGGATTTGGAAAAAAAGCTTCGTGGAGTAGGTGAATGGGGCGGGCAGATTTTGGATTTCCCCTGAACGTGTTTGTAGAGGCCGGTGTGAGTTCGGGATAAAAAATTGCTGTTTGAATCTACAAGGTGTATGGTGGCTCGTGATTCTGTGCCAAGCCGAGACATTGGCATATCTACTGTGTACCAGACCCAGTTTTGGTGCTAGAGATAAAGCAATATTCAAGGGACATATGATCACTGTCCTCTTGGAGCTTAAAGTTTCAGTGACGATTGGGGGATTTGACCCAGGACAGGAACAACTTGTGAAGAAACTTGGGGACCATATTGAAGAGTATGGACTTTTATCAGACTAGCAAGAGAGAACCAATATTGACTTTAGACAAAGGTATGGTCTGAGTAGATTTGTGGTTTCAGAAAGGTCCTACACCATTAATGAGGAGACCAACGTGGGGAATGAATGAGGTAACATTCCAGCCACTGGAAAACAACATGGAAGGTGAATGGAAAGAGGTGAGACTAGAGGCAGGCAGATCAGATTGGAAGGCTACTGAAGAGAAGTTATAGTGCCCCAGACCCAGCAGGGTGAGGAGAAGGAAAGAGCCCCACAACTTACTCTTAGCCAGTGACATTGGCATCCTGGATGCTTGGACAAAGCTGTTCCTCTTCAGACTAGTTTTTCAAAAATTATGGACATCTCTATTTAGTGGGCATGGAGAAAAACAAATTATTATTAAAAACTGCACTCCTCTGGTTTCATGCTAATTACATGCACTGACATTTCAAATCATTTGATATTGTCTTTTATTTTGCAACTTCTCTGTTGCTTACAGGTGGGTGGCAGATAGCCATTGTGTGGTAAGTCCGATTCCCCTGCTGGAGAAGTCCATGGAGAGGGACAGTTGTCCAGCTGAATTCAGCCTTTGCTGTTTCCACCAGGGTGCCAAGCATTTAAGTGATCACAGGACAGGATCCTCAATAATAGGATAACAGTGATAGGATAACAGACCAGCCTCGCTGTCAGCGGAACACTACTGTGTAACCCCAGCTGAAGTGTCTCCCAGCAGAGCCCTGCATGACTTCACAATCCATGAATTGTTACATAGAGTGAAATATTGGCATCTGCAAGCCACAGTTGTTGTTTGCTGTGTATCAGAAAATAAATGAACAGCCCCATTTGTTGACACTCAAGGAACATCAAAGCTGGAAAGCCTCTGCTCCATTCGGAAGCCTTGGCATGTGATCCCAGAGAGACCATCAGAGCTGAGTCTCCAACTCCCATTCTACTCCCACAGATTGCTTCTCCTTTCCAGAGGCTGTGCCAGGTAGATCTGGGGAAGCTTGAGGCAGTATGTGCCCATGAGGCAGGAGGAGAGGCTCCCCAAGATTCCAGTAAAGCTCTTTCTAACCTCTTTCTCTCCTTCAGTGGCTGAGAAAGAAGACACATGTGTCCCAATTGCCATTGGCAATTATCTTCTGAACACCAAGGAACCCAGACTTAGGAAGAGGCTGGTGCTACTGAGGGCACAGGGAAGAACCTAGGGCCACAAAGACATAGGGAATCACCAAATAAGCCAGCCCTGCAGACTGCCCTGCTGTTGGACAGCTGCTATGTGAACTAACTGTTTGCTCTTAATTTAAGCTAGGGTGTGGGGGAGTTTTACTTGTTGCTCAGGATAACCTACTTAATGTTGTATTTCCTTTTTCTGAAAAATTGGACATTGGTGAATTCAATTTCTTTCTTGCTTATCCTGAAAACAACCTATGCTTGCTTGCTGTAGCTAAAACCCTAGAATGGAAAGCAGGAAAGAAATGATTTTGATCTAGTTGCAATTTAAACCATAAATTTGACTTACTACATGAAACCCATGCAATCAATGCTTCTGAATAGTAAGTGTGCTACAAATGGATATTAATAACAATAATTAAGAAGAATAACAGCTATCATTGAGGAATTATAATACACCACACATTGCTTTAAGTACTATATGGATTACTCCATTTAATTCCCACAATACTTGCATACGATTACAGATATTTTAATCTCGATTTCATAGAGTAGAAGCTGAGACAAGGAAAACTGAAGTTTATTTTCCTGGGTCACATGGCATCGAGTGGTGGGATTAGGATTTAAACCGAGAAAGTCTGACTTCAGAGCTCTGCTTCTTCGTGGCTATTCTAAACCAAGAAAATAGGAACCAAGAAAGATGTAACGCCAAAAGGGAAAATTAAAGATCTCTTAGATTTGTTAGGAAAAGAAGACAACTGATAGATGAGGTGGATTTGGGACGAATGGATCCATCATGAGGCACAAGTAATCCCTCACATCTTGTATGCCCAGGAACACCACTGAGATTTAATAAATCAATATATTCCATTTTCATATATATGCATAAACACAAACATATACACACATACTTGCTGTGGATGTCTACATCATTTCTATGTGGCCTTGCTTACTTTAGTTTTGTTGACTGTGGTAATATATTTATATTTGTGACCCTAGACAGCAGGTCTTATAACCAAGCCCCACAGCAGATTTTTTTTTTTTCCCCCATGATTAACACAGCTTCTCCCTCTGGTTTTGTCCCCTCTTAGCTGACTCTGAACTCAGTATGCTGATACTTTAATTGTGAAGTCAGTTGACTATGGAAAGGAGTAGAGAGGCTGCAGCTCCAGAATAAGTTCATTTGAGACAAGACCTTGGTTCAAGGTCCCTCCTATGTCACCACTCCTTCCATTTAGAGAAAAGGAGTTTCAATCATGCCGGTTTTGTGCCTGTGTCTAAGCATTATGGTGCCAGACATATGTGTACTAGTTAGGCTCTTTTTTTTTTTTGGAGAGGTAAAAGATTTTAGTGTTCTGGCTCAGCTTCTCCTCAGATCCCACCCTCACAAACAGGTTCTCAGGTGAGATCCTTGGATAACTGAGTTTGGATTCAAATCAGACCCTTGCAAGAGCTGTTCAGAATCTGAAGAATCCTTCTCTGTATTCAGTCTGCTCTGAGCGTGCCTGGGCTGTGGTAATTCCTGAATTCCTGGGGTCAAGTACCCCCCTGGAGTGTTGCTCCTGGTTGGAGACGGGGAGCAATGAGTGGAAATTCTGTTCCGCTAAAAAGTGAACTTTCCTATCAGCCTGCTGAGGAAAGTCTTCTTTTCACTTTTTCATTCACTTCTTAGAATGTGATGGACTCTTCCAGATTATGTTAAGATCTGTCAGCAATGTTGGGTAGCTATTCTGCAAAATAAATAATGAAGATTGCAATTATCTCCCATGTCAGAGGAGCTTTCCTGCAACTGATTATCTATATTGCCCTATTTCATGCTGTTCCCAAGATACTTGTCCCCATTCTCTCATTTGTACATTAATGTATTCATTCAACACATTCATTCCACATAAAGAGACCCCATTGTTCCATGCACCACTCAGGGAATTGAAGATACAAGATAGATATAGTCCCTGCCCTCATGGAGCTTAGCAGGGAAGAAGGACCAAGGTCTTGGAGAAAGGTGAGTCTATTATAATGGAAATCGTAGAGTGATATGGTGGGTGTTCTCAGCTAGGACTGGAGATAATGTGGCACTCTGAGCAGAATAAAGGTCAGGGAATACCTTCTTCAGCAAGAGAAATCTAACCCAAGACCTAAGGATGAGCACTACCCAGCCAAGGGAAGAGGAAGAACAGTGTTTCAGGCTATGGCAGGTGTGGTCCATTGGCACTGATATCTACTCCAGCCTACTTCAAGGTTGCTAGCCTGGAAAGCTAGTTTATAGTACAAACTCTGGTGAGTGACCTCCACCCATCAGATGCACTCCTTCAGGATTTGGAAGATGGGAGTGACCAAGTGGCCTTACCTCCTTCTTCTGTGGCTTTTGCTGGCCAAGAAGCACTGCATGGGTGGAGGTCTGGCCTTCCTGAGGCTCCTCTTGGTTGTGGTAGCTTCCAGGTCATTATAGCCTCTAGGTTGTGGTTGTTTGCTGGTTTGGGTAATTTCCTGATCCTGTCAGACAGCAGTTGTAGGCAGCTTCCCACTCTGGCTATCTGCTCCATGGTGGCAGAAAAGGCAAAAGCCCCTCTGGTTGCGTCACATTCACAGTCTGATTGTTTCAGGGAAGTGGGGCAGGTTGCTGAACCACACACACAAAAAAAGTGTCCAGAATGGTGTGCAAGACATGACTTATTGGGGAAAGCTTACAAGAGATCAGTGACTCCTCCAAGAAGAGTTCAGTGGTGACAGCAACAGGCTGAACGGTAGCACCTCCGTCCCTCATGGTACTTCACCAGGCAGTGCCTCCTCTCCCTCACAGTATTTTGTTCAGTAGCAGCTGGATGGATGAGTGACACATATTCTTTCCTCAGTTCTGTGCCAGTGGCCTCTGAAAAAGGGATTTGATATGTTGGGCTGCAGAAGCAGTGACATCAGCACATTAACTTGCTTTCTTATAAGACCAGCGTCCCAAGGAGCAACTGTCCTGGTGGACATGTAAGAAAGAAGCTTTCTACAGGTAACACTAACTTCCTGTTTCAGTCACCTTTTTCATTGCTGTGACCCAAAGACCTGACAAAAAACAATTTTAAGCAGGAAAAGTTTATTTGGGGGCTCATGATTTCAGAACTCTTGGCCCATAGATAGCCAGCTCCATTCCTTGGGGCCCTAGGTGAGACAGAGCATCATGGCAGAAGAATGGGGCAGAAGAAAGCATTGTACCAGGGAACATTGTACCAGGAAGCAGAGAGAGATCACTGCTCAGCAAAGATAAAATATAAACCCCAAAGGCACCCCCTCCCCAGAACCTACTTCCTCCAAACATACCTTACTGCCTGCCTACAGTTAACCACTCAGTTAATTCCTATCAGGGAATTAATTCACTGATTGGGTTAAGACTCTTATAACCCAAACATTTCACTTCTAAACCTCTTGCATTGTCTCCTACATGAGCTTTTGGGGGACATTTCACATCTAAACAATAACATTTGCCCAAGTTCTTAGTAAGCATTCAAGAAAGTCAGTGTCCTTTAAGATAATATGTATCTGTAGTAATCTGATCCTTGACAAAGGTGCCAAAAATATACATGGAGAAAGGACAGCCTATTTAACAAAATGTTTCTGGGAAAACTGGTAATCCATATGTAAAAGAATGAGACCAGAACTTTATCTCTCATCCTGCACAAAAATCAGCTCAAAATGGACCAAAGACCTAGGAATTGGAGCAGAAATTATGCAACTCCTAGAAAAAAATGAAGGGTCAACTCTCATTATTATAGACACAGGCAATGACTTTCTCAATAGGGCCCCTAAAGTTTAGAAAATAATGGCAAGAGTTAATAAATGGGATGGTATCAAATTAAAAAACTTCTTCACGGCAAAGAAAACAATTCAGAATGTGAAGACAAAACCTATTGGGAGAAAATCTTGGATAGCACTCTTTTGAAGAGGATTAATATCTAGACTATATAAGGAACTAAAAAAAAACATAACACCAAAAAACAAAAACTAAATAATCCAATTAATAAATGGACAAATGAATTCAACCGATACTTCTCAAAAGAAGAAATACAAATGCCCTCCTCCCAAAAGGAAAAAAATGTTCAACATCATTAGTAATTAGGGAAATGTAAATCAAAACTACAATGAGATGTCATACCCATACCAGTCAGAATGGCAGCCATCAAGAATACATATAATAATAAACGCTGGAGAGGATGTGGAGAAAAGGGAACACTTTTACACTGTTGGTGGGATTGTAAATTAGCACAACCATTATGGAAATCAGTATGGAGTGTTCTCAAAAGACTAGGAATGGAGCCACCAGATGACCCACTCTTTGGTGTTTATTCTAACAAATTAAAGTCATTGTACTATAGCGATATAGGCATACCCTTGTGTATAACAGCACAATTCACAATAACCGGACTCTGGAACTTGTCTACGTGTCCATCAATGGATGAATGGATAAGGAAAATGTGGTATATATACACAGTGGAGTTTTACTCAGCCATAAAGAAGAATGCAGTTATGTCATTTGCAGGAAAAAGAATAGAACTTGAGAACATTATGTTAAGCAAAATAAGCCAAACTCAGAAGGTCAGGAATTGTGTGTCTCTCTCATATGTGAAAGCTAGAGAAGAAAAAGGGAAATAAAGTTGGAGGGATCTCATGAAAATTGAAGGGAGATGAGGAAACAGGCCAGGGCAAGGGAGGAGGGTAGAAAAATGGGAAATACTGGGGAATGATATTGGCCAAATTTTATTTTTATATTGTGTGAATGTATGAAAGGTGATTAATCCCACCATATGAACAACTATAATGCACCAATAAAAATGTGGACAAAAAAAATATAATATGTATCTGGACATTTTGGACCAGGATTATGCTCATCATTCCTTTACTTTAGCTAGGTTTTAGGGAACACATAAGGGCATTCAGGGTCACTGTGTTTTACTCTCCCTTTTTTTTTCAGTTGTAGATGAACACAATATCTTTATTTTATTTATTTATTCTTATGTGGTGTTGAAATCAAACCCAAAGCCTCACACATACTAGGCAAGTGCTCTACCATTGAGCCACAACCCCAGCCCCTCTTCCTTTTCTCTGTAAAGATGACATGGGTAGTTAGAACTGTCTGCAGCTCTGAAGCCATTTAATATGTTGTAAGAAATAAATCCCTTTCTGCTTAATACAAGTAAGAGTGGATTTTGATTTCTGCAACTGACAACTTACAGACAACAGGTGAATGTCCACTAGGAAAAAAACTGGTGGCATTCCGAGTATGGCCATCGTGGCAAGGGTAATGCCACTCTAAGCAAGAAGAACTGGCTAGGCAAGAAAGGGCTAGATTATGGAGTGCCTTATGAGTCAGCCTGGAAATCTCTACTGAAAGGGCAACTGAAAGGTTTCAATCAGGTTAACCCCAGGACAGGACCAGATCCATCATTTTCAAACACAATGCATAATAGGTGGAGAGTAGATGAAAAGCCAGGATTGGACACAGGAACAGCAGGTGGTACCTATAGTGTTAGTCCTGGATTTAAATACATCACATAACTGTACTCAATTTCATGCTGAAATACTTTTAGTTAAAACAAAGACGTTCTTAATTTTTTTGTATATAAATTGAATTTTTGTTTCTCTCTATTTTATTCCAAATAGTGTAACAGTATGCAATATTTATTGACTACTTGTTGTCCTTCAGTGGATGATTGCAGCCCTTTAATGAGATCCTCTCCACATAGTCTTTCTTCTCCTTGTCTCCCTTCCTTCCTTACCCTCCCTTTCTCCCTGTGTACCCTCATTACAGTAGAGGTTTCCTTTCCTCTTCCCTTTGTCCATAGAGAGAGAGAATGTCTCTTGAGCTATAATTGGCTCCTGGGCTCTCT